ACAGCCACAATATCGAGGAGAATCCGTCTAATCAGAGCTACACATTCAGATACTTAATTTGACGCACTGCGAAATCTGCCTAAAATGCTTAATGTAAGAGCAAGAAAAGGCCATGAAGTCACAAAAGGTGGCCAAAGGGAAAAAAATGCAAAAATATCGAGTCGTAAGTTCAGTGTAGTAAAACCGAGTCGTGGCGGAGCTATCTGTTTGGAAATATTTCATACGAGTTTGATTCCGGGAAGATTTGAATGCCAGCATTTTTATGCCTGCATCAAGCACCTTCGCGGGACTGCGGCTTGACGCACCAGAAATTCCGCGCAACCGCTACGAAACACCGATTCCACCAAGCCTGAAGGGTTCCCGGTGAACACTGCGCGGCAGCGAAACTGCGAACCCGAATTAAGAAACACTTCACCGCCCAAATAAAGTCGTCGCAACGCGCCCCGCGAGGTCTCTCAACACAGAGACGGCTCGCACTGAACGGTTAATCGCAATCAGATAAAAAGACTGGGAAGAATGTCCAGACAAAGACGAAGTCGGTATCCAACCACAGAGAGCAAAGGGGGGGGGGGGGGGGGGATTAAGCTGAGGTAAGGGAAAAAAAAAAGACTACTTCTGCAGCCCAACAGTTCTCTTCGTAGCACTACCACGAGGACAAGACAAGAGGGGAAGAGAGGGTGGAGGTCAAGAGGGGCAAGCTGCCGCGGCAACTCGAGAGAGTCCCAGCCAGAGGCTCCGCCAGAGCAAAGCGCACGCAACAGTAGTGGAGAGGGAAAGCGCGACAGATGCACGAGCGCGCGTATATGTGTGCATGTGTGTCTGTATGAGTGCGCGGGGCGTCTACAGCAATCAAGGCAAAACAAAAGCCGCCCGCGAGTTTCAAAATAGCAGCGGCCCTCCCCGACACGCGTCGCGCTCTCCGGGAGGAAGAAGAGGCTTACAAAAGGTGCGACGGCGGCCAAAACAGAACCACGCGGTCGACGACGCCGCGGGGCTAGACAGGAAAACGTTTCCAGAGCGGCCTAACCACATGGCGCACGCTCAATGACCTGGCATAATCGACGTCGGAGAGACGTTGTACAACAGCCAGCACCGCACTGAAAGGGCTGCGCTCTATCGCGATGTGCTGGTTTCCGCTGTGGCATACAGTGGAAGTTGCACGCCCAAATGGCGTATACACTGACGTCACGCGACGATTCCCCGTTAACGCGCACACACTGGAGTAGGAAGAAGCGTATACACACAACCAGCTGAGTTATTACAGTCGTGGTAGTAAAACTGAGTTCGATTTAACGAAAACTGTAGGGGCCGTGCTCTCACTGCGTTCAGAAGCGCTATGCTGCCTTACTTGCGTTTTGCTGCGCTAAATGTGACGACCGACATGAGAGCGTCGACATGCCAGACAACTGCGGAGTGAACGAAAATTACTTCCTACTTTCAAGTAAAAACTCATTCGCTGGCTGAGAAACGCCACGTTCGTATAATTTCGGTTTCACGCGAATGGGCAAATGAAAACAAAACTAGGGAACTGTTAGCTGCATCCTATGACGATTATGAGGGCCACCTTAGGAGAGTAGGTTTTATTTCGACGAGCTAGGGTTCCGTTAACGTGCGCCTAAATCTAAGCATACATGGGTCTTTTGATTCTCTCTCATCCAAACGCGGCCGCCGGCTTCTGGAACCATACCCCTGTTGGAAATCTCGGAAGCTCTATGCACAATACTCGTTTGATTCGGCAGTGTGCGCATTGGCGACTTAGCTTAATCGTATTATAAGATATCACCGTCACAGGCTGGGTGGAAAGCGAAGCGCTGGCTGTGTACAGCAGCCTTGATTTAAATTGGTGCCAAGCGGTGTACAGCTTTATACAGTGTTCATTGGTCATAACTGGCACGGTGTGTTGAGTTGTGAATTTCGTTTGCCTTCCTTAGTGCTTTGTGGTATCGGATCTAGCTTGAAGTTGGCAAAGACAAGGTCTGGGCACGTTCCCCTAGTGGCTGTTCCAGTCATACGAAATGCATCGTAAGGCATACCGAGACGTCATCTACTGTCCAAGCCAGTCGTTGTCCGAGGCATACCAAGACGTCATCTACTGCCCAAGCCAGTCGTTGTCCGTGATCATCATGGTCATCGAGTATACTGGGTATCTTGCCTGTGGTGTGCCGTCATGACAGTAGGCGAATGTTGGGTCTTGAACGCGCTTATTGTTCACCGTCATTAGCATCATAGTCATCGTCAACGGCCGCTACGGCGCAGAACGCCAACGGACAAGCCTCGACCTTAAGAAGCATCGCCCCTAAAAATTGGCCAGAGCGTCAGCTTGTCCGCGATGCATGGTTGTTGGCAACGTTTGGAAGAAAAACGCAACTCTACTAACTAAATGTAGCATTATACATTACGTTAATCGGATGCCGTAGAGGCATTCTTTCGAGGCAAAATCGCGGCTCCTGTGCCCGTTAGGGCAGAGCAAGGCCTAGCAACCGATTACATAAGAGCACGCGAAATCGTCCCAGGCGCCTTCGCAGCCAAGATCGCGCTAGAGGGAGGAGACCGTCGAGGCTATAAAAAACCTCCCTTCCCACAAGCATCCTTGCCGAGTCGCCTCCGCACGTTTCCACGCCAGAAGAGGGAGCGGCGGCTCAGCGAAAATTCCGAGGCAGAGAGAGGAGAGGATGACACGGGTCTTCAGCGACGGATGATGCAGACAAGAAAACAAAAAAAAAGTTACGGAGACAGACTTGGAAAAAAAAGAATTGCACACATGCAGCGAAAAAAAAAAAAAAAAAACGCACTCTCCTCCGCCGAGGCTTACACCACGCCCGGATGTGTAAACTGCTTCCAGGCGCAGAGCGGCCTCGCACCGCTTATAGAAGATTTATAAGCACCTAGATCGCTAGCCACCGCCGAATGGAAGAGGGGGAGGCTCTATCAAACGTTCCGAGACATGATGCGGCCTCGCATTACGTGCCGGCACACCTTACTTGATCGACGCGGCAACAATGTCGATCCGGTCTGACAATAGGCAGCATTCGGGGATTGGCGACCTAGCGCAAGGGAGAAAAAAAAGGGCCGAAAAGAGATAAGAGCTCGAGCTAAACAAACGCGAAAAAAGGCACCACGTAAGAAGCAGCTTCGAAAGGTCGACGTGGCCAGTCTAGCGAGGAACGAAGCAACAAACTAAGCGGCGCATATCTCCAGAGCGTGAAAAGCTCGAAAAGGAAATATATAGGATAGAGGCGATTCGAAGGAACGCGTAAAAGTACAAGAAAGAAAACATGGCAACATTGATGAGAGGTTGCGTGCCGGGCCACCCTCCCAGCCATCCCCGAAACTTAAAAAAGGAAAAAAAAAAGCTAGTGCTAGTCTTCAAAAAATAATAAAAATACCCCCCCCCCCCCCACACACACACACAAAAAGGGTGCTACCTTTACTACTGGGCAGTCAGGCCGGCCCTACGCGCTCAGCGCCAACTAGCTGACCGGCAGCATAGGTAGTACATACATACGTGCCTGCTGGAACAGGGAAGAAACCTAGTCCACCACTCCCAACGCCTGACAGCTAGGCAAGGCAGGCCGGGATGCGAAAACCGAAAAAAAGCTCGGCCATCGCCGCCGCTAACAGAAAGGATAACGACCGGACACACCAAGATTGGCAAGCGAGGGGCTCCTCACGCGAAGAAGAGATAAAGAAAAGACGTATTTAATGAAAACAAGACCGGCCGCACTCATATGTTTCCGGTCTTGATAAAATGAAAGGCAAGGATTTATCTCTGAAGTGACGCCTCGCTGAATAACTTACGCGTCAGGTCTGCCTTCTAATTTCGTCGTTTGAGAGCGCCGCCACCCATTGGCTAGATAGCCATGACTAGATTTGAAAATGACACGAGATCTAAAAAAGGCTACCGGTGTTACAGTGATGTCAATATTGCTTATATGCAACACTAGTGGCGGCAGTTCTGAAGCTGCAACATTTTATATATATATTTTTATCAAGTTGCGACTAGTGCAGGCTAGCTCCCGAAAAGCACACATTTGCGTAACACTGCCACCGTTATCGTGAATTTTACGACGGAACGCAGACAGCACTTTAAGTGGCGCTTAGTTGTAATGCATCGCAGCCCTTCCCAAAATGACAGCATGATAAGTCCTGCTCGATCGAAGTGAACACGCGCAAGTCACCGGAGAATCGCAACGTCGAGAACACTGACCCTCAGTGCCACTGAAACAACGCTTATTCTTCACGACTCCTTTCAAGCTTTATGGCGTGCGACAAGCTGTTCATCCGTCCAGTGAAGCAAAAAGAAGCAAACGAAAAGCGAACTCGTAGTAAACAGGATAAAACTGCAGATACCGGGAGGATCTTCTTGGGAGCCACGCCCCACGGCGAGTGTAAGAACACTTGTCTGACAAGGCTCAATAGCAACGGAAAACCTTAGTATTTGGACAAATATCTCTAGTACAATTTAGCAGTAATAACAATCAAACAAAAATCCATGCATGCGCTTTCAATGAGTACAGCCACGCTTTGGCTGGTGAGCGTAGTGAGTGCTTAAAATGACTGAATAGTTACCTTACAGTCGCGATGAGCATAAGCGATTACAGTCGGCACACAAGCGAACCACCGCGCGTATGCTCGTAATGATTCTTCCCCTTGAAACAGAGCGAAACCATGTAGACGACGGGCAAAGGTTTTCTTTTATCCAAGTGCGAAATGGTCGAGCGTTTCTCGGCGGTTAGAGTTGACAGTCAACCCCCCGCTATTCATCGCGCCGACAAGCAGCGCGCCGGCACAAAGAGCGCGCGCGAGTTGAAATAAGTTGTAACTGCTTTTGGTGTCGCCGCGCTCGTTTTGCGTGCGGGGTTCGTTTCCCCAAAACGCACGCCCGCGAATTTGACAGCTGCACCACACTTCTGCATCGTAGCCAGTGTTGAGCTGCCGATACAACGGCCGAGAACTAGACAGAGCACAGGCCCTACCAAGTGCGTTTTTACATTATTTACCTGGGCTCGAGGTGGGTAAGCACCCAGTCGAAAACCTCCGCTTCCACGTCCTCCGGGTCGATGGTGCGCTCCACTTGGTGACCATTGCGGTGCTGAACCCCGTCGTCCGGACTCTCGGGGCTGTTCACATTTGAGGTACTCGGTAATCGACCTCTCCTCCATAGCAGCAGGAAGGGCTGTGACGGGAGGATAATGATCGCCCGGCGACAACGCGCGGCCTGGCGAGCGGACAGCGAGGAGCACCGCGGCGCGGCGCTGTCGACGATTGCGGAACCGACGCGCCACCACGAAACGTTGGCGGGGTTCGGAGTTACGCATACCGGTTTATTGGCCGCCAATGCTTGCTCTTCCACGTAATTTGGAAGCATTTAGAATTTTCGTGACTTTACCATGTGCAGCTTAAACAATGTGAATGAATAATGCGTAAAGTCTACAGCTTTACATCCTCTTCATGTTCTTTTTACGTCACGGATATTATATAACGGAAAGACAACGAAGAATGAAAGACAATGCTGACATGAAGTCCGCTAGTGTAAGCTAAATATCAATGATTTTTCATTCCTAATCAGTTCAGTTGCTTACACAGTGTACGGCTATCCATCATGAACAGCCCATATGAGCCAGTTGATTGATGTAGAGCTGACTGATCGAGCATTCCAAGCTTATGGAAATATAGAAGCAGCTGAAAATTGATGTAATTTTTAAATCAAAGCATAAGTCTTAGGGCGAAATATTCGTTGCAAAAAAGTACAGTCTACCGTAAACGAAAGTGCAAGGCATACTTCGCAAGAAATTTCTCCCGCAATTAATTATTCAATTCACGCTATGCAGTTTTTTTTCTTTTATTTCTTTGTTTCTTGATCGTTAGCCCGCTTACGTTATACCTTTTCGTGTTCAGTTACCTGAAAAGTAGGAACACATTGCATATTTTGGTGTGCGCCTAATATCCGAAATGTTAGACATAGACTGAGACGTGCTTGTTCGGAGTTACCGTTACAGAGAGAGATTATTAGATAATGTGGAACACATGTAAAGAAAGGATAAACTGAGGTAGAACTTCAAGTCTAGGCCGTCTAGCAGGTTCACTTCATTCACTCGCATACGAGGTGACCAATGATGTGGATGCGTGGTAGCTACATTTCGGAGATTGCAGTGTTGTTGTTAAGCGAATGTTGGTGTTCATGCGATAAGCATTGAAAGAACGAAGCGACACACCATATTGCCAAATTCTTCACTTGTATGTTGCTGGCTTCTTAAATCTTTAGTTTGCGCACTCTTGTTTTCACCTTCTTTTCTTCAACTTACTCGGTGATTTTGTACCTGACGTTTTGACATCTATGTTTTCCTCTGTACGTGATTTCTACCAAATGGATGGTATTGGCGAGTATACGGTAAATTTATCGAATATTTTCTGTAGTTTATTATTCGAAGAAGCTATAGTTAGTAGGTCACCAATTTTCTGTCATGGATTTCTCTTCTTTCTCGTCTTTCTATTTTCAGTGGAAGCGCATACACTGTGGGTTCATTCATATTATGAAAGAATTAGGCCGAGGAGAGAATCAACTTTATTTAGGGTTCCTGCATGTTTGAGAGGTCCGGGCTCAGGTCTTCCACGATGAACTGTCGAAATCTTCTCTCAGCGCCTCTTCGCGGGCCCACTGGACGGTCCAGAGTTCGTTGTCGAGGTCTCCGCAGCGCCGTGAGGCGGCCCACCTTCGCGAGAAACTCTAAGAGCTTAAGCTCGTTTATGCATTCGGATTGAAATTTCCCCGGCGTCTGTTTGAGTGCAGCGGTTCCCCGTTTGCATCGGGTGCACGCCCACTGCATTCTTAAGAACAGACGTGCCTCAACAAAACTAGGCCTGTAATATTTGTTTCGTAACATTGCGACGTGCCGAATCGCACGTATTTGCACGTGTGACCCAGGTTGCATACTCGTGCACGCACCCGGAACATGACAAACTGCCCATACACAGCGGTCCAACAGCTGGCTGTGAAATGCTCGGTTCTGCTTGCATTCGCCAAGCCACGACGACAGCATAAGACAGTTTGGCCCCCCGGAGGGCTCCGCACTTAAAAGTAATGTGAACAACTTAAAGCCAGTACCACACAGTCAAAACCATCGGACAGCTAAACTATAATTGCAAGAGTGTGTGTGTAGCTATTGAGGTCACCTGCATCACTTATCATTGTAGTCATCATCATTTATTATCATCACCACCACTTCCTTTCATTCTTTATTCCTGCGCCCATACCTGGTAACGTGACCTACTACTGCTGCTGCTACTACTGCTACTATTATTAGTACTACGACGGCACAGAGCCGACTAAGATAGCTTTGCAATTACATTAATGATTACTTTTCCGGTGTTTTAACGCAGTTACAATAAGAGATGGTCTAACTAATGAAATTAATATACCTTAATTTCTGAAACGTTGAAAAATTACTTTGAAGTTACTTTAGCAAATGTTTGGCACTTGGAGTAACTTAGTCTTTTTTTATTTTCTGGCCAGTTTGTGGCATTTGGGATGTGAACAGGATATACTTACTTCAAAAGTAATTAGGTGACAAGAAATTTCGTTAAAGTAAGTCACTTGAATTCATTACAATACTAAATTACTAGCTCACATAAATGAATCATTACAACAGTCAAAGCAAAAGTATTTTAATTACTGTAATTCATTTCCAAACCTGCCTCGTTGCTGTTGTTGAGTGCGCTTCTTCACTTATCACTGCAGTCTTTCACAAAGGTGCTACGATAAAGCAATGTAAAGTTGGCTTTTTTTTTTTTGCAATTCTGACTCGCAACGGGGCCAAGCAGCAGGCATAAAGAAAATCTAATTGATTGATATGTGGGGTTTAACGTCTCAAAACCACCATATGGTTACGAGAGACGCCGTAGTGGAGGGCTCCGGGAATTTCGACCACCTGGGGTTCTCTAGCGTGCACCCAAATCTGAGCACACGGGCCTAAAACATTTTCGCCTCCATCGAAAATGCAGCCGCCAGAGCCGGGATACAAAGAAAATCTCACGAAGTACCGCCGGATGTTCACAGACACTGTGACTGACAAAAATATCGATTGTATGTTACCCACCCTTTATGTAATACCCTCTCGGGGGTCTTTAAGGAAATAAAAATGAAATGAAATGAAACACGCCTTAGGCTTTAGTTTCAAGGCTCCCTAGCATAGTAAAGCCAGCGTGGAGCTGCAGAAACGTTAACGTGACAAAAAAAAAAAAAAAGCCAGATCCCACGTACGGTAGGAATCGATGATATGCGAAGCACGAATGAGAAAGGTTGATATGTCACCTTAAGATCAGCCCAACGTTACAAGGTGGAGGTTAATGATGCCAAACATGATTTCCGTGTCACGATTACCATGTTTCGATGTGTCGGTTACTTTCGTCATCTATTCGAGTCAAGTGATACCAAATTTAGTATATGTGGAGCTAGCGAAACGCCCACGAGCACGTTATGAGAGAGGTATGTTGTCATGTTCTTACATGACACACTTGTCACGATTATCATGTTTGCGCCAGTCGTATATTTCGTCATTAATTGACGCCACGTAACACCAAACTTGGTATATGCGGAGCCAGCAAAACGGCCGCGAGCGCATCATGAAGGGCCCAATGTACTCCAATGTAGCGTTGACGCATGCGCACGCTGGACACAGCGATGCTACGTTAGCAAAATGCGAGCACTAGTCCGACGCCAGGTGCAACTGGCGCGACCCGATGGCAACCGGTGCGAAATGCGACATGCTGCATTTCATGCCGATGCGTTACCTAGACAACACTGCGTCTCCCTCTTTTCGTAATGGAGGGACGTCGGACGCGCTGAAAGGCGCATGCGTCGCGTCAAAGCAACGCAGCGCGCACTGCGAGTATATCGCAGGACCGGCGCCTGGCATGGCAACGCCACCGTGACGCAACGAAATGAACGGCGGCAAGCACGTGCACCGCGTCACGTCGAAATGATTGATTGATTGATTTGTGGGGTTTAACGTCCCAAAACCACCATATGATCATGAGAGACGCCGTAGTGGAGGGCTCCGGAAATTTTGACCACCTGGGGTTCTTTAACGTGCACCCAAATCTGAGCACACGGGCCTCGACATTTCCGCCTCCATCGGAAATGCAGCCGCCGCAGCCGGGATTCGAACCCGCGACCTGCGGGCACGTCGAAATGTAGGTGCACCTTGACTGTGGCATGTAGTCATGTTCTCACATGACGCGTATCTCATGATTATCATGTTCGCACCAGTCACATACCTTCGTCATCTATTGGTATCCCGTAATACCAAATTTGGCATATGTGAAGCTAGCGAAACGGCCGCGAGCGCATCACGAGTGTGGCATGTAGTCATGTTGTTACATGACACGCATGTCATGATTATCATGTTTGGATGTGTCATCTACCTATGTCATCCGTTCGCGTCGCGTAATACCGTGTTTGGTACATGTGAAGCTAGCGAAATGGCCACGAGCGCATCATGAGCGTAGAATGTAGTCATGTTGTTACATGACACGCATCTCATGTTTATCACGTTTGCACCAGTATCATAACTTCGTCATCCATTCAGGTCCCGTAATACCAAATTTGGTATAAGTGAAGCTAGCGAAACGGTCACCAGCGCATCATGAGCGTGACATGTAGTCATGTTGTTACTTGACACGTATGCCATGATTTTGATGTTAGGGTCTGTCGCTTGTGTTCGCCATGCAATCATGTCATACCATACCAGTTTTGCAACATGCCATGTGAATGAAACCACTGCAAGAGCTGCAGAACTATGAAATGTAAATCATAACATTCATGACAAGAATGTCATGATTTTCATGTTATGACTAGTCAAATATGTTCTTCATACAGTCATATCATGCCATACCAAGTTTGGTATCGATACGATTATCGAAACGGACAGGAGAGCTAAAAGTCGGAGGCGGCTAGATAGATAGATAGATAGATAGATAGATAGATAGATAGATAGATAGATAGATAGATAGATAGATAGATAGATAGATAGATAGATAGATAGATAGATAGATAGATAGATAGATAGATAGATAGATAGATAGATAGATAGATAGATAGATACGCTCAAAGTCGCCGAAGTTCGCTAAGAAATGCTTC